TTTGAGTGGCACCCTGTTGGCCAACAGCACTGGGTTATTAACCCAGGCCCAGACCGATCACATTTTTGATGATTCCCGTGTTTGATTTGGCAAGGATTTTATGCTAGATGCCCTCCCTGATGCAACCCTTCCCATTCACCCGGAGCAGCACTAAGAGTATACTGGCTTGTGGCCCCCTGTGGCTGGGTTTATATAAAAGTTAACAAGGATCATAATAATACACTTAAAGGTCCAGCTGCCATTTCTCAAATGCCTTGGGTGCAAGCTGCAATTTGCAATGCAAGATTAGTTTCTTACTGTTCAGAATGTGCACTTAAGGATATCCATGACTTCAAAATGTAAGAGCACAATGCTCTGTGACTCCATTATTAAAAGCCCCGCCGAGGGTCACACTGGGCTCTTCAAGGAGACTCTGACTTTTTCCCTTTAATATTTACCTCCAGACTGTCGCTTATCTACTTTTCTGATATGATTAAATCTGTTGTCAAGAATCAAAAATCTCTTTAAAAGCTTCAAATTGGCCAGTTTGTATTTCCTGATAGACTCTCACAGGTCAGTTTGTTAGTTAGCTGCACGTGTAGAATCAGTCAATAACATGACAGCAGCTCACTGCATTTAGACATCTAGACAAGGTCAAGATGACCTACTGAAGTTCAGTGGATTTATGTCTGCATTAAATCAATGCCATAGATTGTAACTGCACCCTTCTAAAACCCTGTACTATAACCTATGCTATAACCTTATGTGTGCCTCCATCCAGTTGGTGGTTGGTTTCCTGTCTTGTATTAACATTTCAGGCTAGTTGTGGTGGTGTCATAGCGTGGCACAGTTTGGCTCCTTCAGTATCAAATGAGCATCATTCTGATACCATACCCAATCTGAGTATGCTGGCCCTATAGTGCATCCATCTTTTGATGCCTACTTCCAGCAGGATACTGTGCCATATAACAAAGCTTGAATCATGGTAAATGGTAAACGGCCTGTATTTGTATATTGCTTTACTAGTCCCTAAGGACCCCAAAGCGCTATAGGCATCTCACACTTCCTGAATATCCTATTCAAATGACCTCCACTGTTACCAGCTCTTAGTCCAGTAGAGCACCTTTGTGATGTGGTGGAATGGGAGATTGACATCATGTCATATGATTTTATTCCACAAAGAAGAAATGCAGTTCTGGAGGCAGAAAAGACTACAACCTGGTAGTCGGAAAGTGTAACTAATGACCTGCCAAGTGAGTGTATAGTACACATTTGGGACACAGGTAAAAACAACACTGTGCTTCTGCTCTTACTCTAATGTTTATTTGAAATTTAGTAACCTTGAACGAGGTACATGGCATCCTTCAATAAAGATGTTACAAACCTCTAAAGCTTCAGTAAAAAGGCTTCTCCGCACCTAATTCCTGTGTTAGTGCTTACAGTTTACTAATCTTTCCCTCAGTACTTGTGATTTTATGCATTTCCTGTTCCATTACAATCCACCCACTGGCTAGTTTTTATAATCGGCCCCGTGTACCATATGGTTTCTTCATTCACTCTCCCCCAGTTTTTCCTCCTCTTTTACTGCTTCGTGTTTAGAGGTTCACTTGCTCTCAGTTCCCTTCTCAGGAAGGTAAACAACATGGCAACCAGAATTTCAAGGATGTCTGTCCAAACAAACTGTCCTGTCACAGTTGTATGTCACGGATGGTGGTTCCTCCTTGATCTTTACAAAAAGGAAACTTGTTTTCCACCCGCTAATGCTTATATACTACCCAAGTAAACAAGAAGGGGATGTTTGAGTTGTGCAATCCTTCTGTTGTCTTCAACTGAGACTAATGCAGAGTTGAGAGTTTCCAGTTTCCATTTGGCCCGGAATTAATAATATATATCAAGGTTAATGGACCCGTGTAATGAATAACATTTCTGAGAAGTAAGTTATTGTACCTCAACATCTGTAACAAGTCATCAAGGATGGGTTATCTATATCATTACTCTGTCAACAAGTGGCTACAGCACACAACATAGATAAATCCCAAAGGAGTCCCGCTGACTAAATGTAAAACAGAAAAGTACAAATCTGTTAAGCCATTAGGTTTATCTGAAGTATCTGTGCATAAAGAGTTCAAGGAGAGTGACGGTGGCACCATAAAGACAAAAGAAGGGGAGCAGTTTTAAAACAATCTGAAATATACAAATCACAAAGCTCTTGTCCTAAATATTTTAGCCATTAATGTATTCAATGCCTCTGCTCTGCAACGGCGCACAAAACAAGTGTTACAAAGCCAGATGGCATTATCCTTACTCCTATCACACGGGCATACAGCTGTGTTATTAGTTTAAAGTCTGGAGTGGTAAGCAGCAAAATATTTGTTAAATAAAACACTCGAATGTATCAGAGATCACACAACCAGAAACTGCTCATCCTCATCTGCTGAGATAAGTATATTTGACACATTAAAGGGGAAACACTTGCCTGTTCTTAGATAATAAGAAATCTGGATACTATTAAATGTTACCTCATATTTACACCGATTGTGATCAAAACCACAATAAGATTCAAATCCGGAATACCAACGATGATAATTTCATGAAATCTTATGCAACATGATCGAATATTCACGCTTATTCCCGGCACATGGATGGATTTATGTTTGACTAATCAGTCCGTAACGATTAGTCAGCAAGGTCAAGAACTGAATGAGGTCAGAGCTATTGTGTCATTTTACTGACCTTATCTGCTCGATGCAGCTTGTATTTATATAATTCTATTTTATAGTTCCTTAAAAATGAATAAATGTATTTATTTTCAAAATCTGGATCACAATTCTCTCGAAGCAAGATTTTCCTCATTGAAAACTGGTCTGACGTCCTGTGTAAATATGAAACGTCTCTTACATTTTGTCAGAGAATACTTTATTAGTAATGAAGCTCATCAAGCATGAGCATCACTAAAAGCATCTCTGCAGGGTATGATGGCCAGACTTCCTGTTAAACATGTATTTAAGAAAACAAAAGAAAGCAATAATAAGAAGAAGTTCAGAGCCTGTGCTGGCAGAGACCGTGTGGGAAGAGAATTTGTCTGGGGATTTAGTTTGCTGGCATGCCCTCTGAGTGCCACGCTCTTGTACGTATCTGGTATATTTCAGAATAAAAATCAAGTATACGATGGAATAAAATCTAAACTATTTGGGTCATAACACAGCTAGAACACTGCAGGGTCAGTAAGGCGATATGGCAGCATCATACCATGAAGCCGCTTTTCAGGGCAGACGATTCGTGTTTTCTCATGCAAGCTCACAAAGCCTCCTTCCTTCCTCTTCATTCTCATCCAAATGACGCAAATTATAGGAAGTGCTTTTTTACAGATAAAACCTTCTTAAAAGCTCTACCCTTTGATGTGGCTGCAATTCAGATGAAGCTGATATGTTTCCTACAATTGGCCTTCAGGCCTCCATCTGATCTGGCTGAGATGGTTTTACATGTTCATGTTAAACTGACAATCCAAGACGATGCCATTCAGATTTTACAATCACAAGAAATTACAGATCCTAAATGGGTTGTAAATAATTTATTTTTAAATTATGAGTCCCCACATGTAAGTGCAAGTCAGGATGTAGGACGGCATTCATACTTGCACTTGATAGCCATTGTTAGTTATAAACAGTTTGACCTAAAATAGTGTTTTTTCACCAACAAGGTGATTTCCAGATACATGTTAGCTGAAAATCTGGCATATCCTTGGCGTTCTGTGCCATGAAAAAAATGAGGAAACTGTCAAGTAGAGGACACAAGAAGGGTCTAAAGATTTATCTGGCTCGTCATGATTTGGTGCTCTGTTTTTGCCAATATTGCTCGGGATCTTGTCAAAACTGATGTAATTATAAACACAGAAAAGTAACATAAGATTTTGTTCAACATGTAAAACCATCTGGATTGTATCTGATTGACAGTGGTTTAATTTTTGAGTATGGCAATGATCCCAAGAACACTGCCACTGCAGTAAAAACATAGATGGATAGAAAAACACACATGGATCACTAGGAGCCATGGATTGGCCTCCCCAGAGCCCGGACCTCAGCATTACTGAAGTAGTGTAGGATCATCTTGACAAAGAACAAAAGGCAGCCAAGAAAAAGAATCCAAGAAGAACTTTGAGTGTCCTTCAAGAAGCCTGGAGAACTATTCCTGAAGACTACTTAAAGAAATTACAAGAAAGCTAGCCTGAGAGCGTCCAGGCTGTGCCGAAAGGTGGCCACACCAAAGATTGACATTCAAGCACTTACGAAACGCACATGCGTCTTATATACTTTATTTCCATGGTTGTTTACACGTTTTTCAGCAAATCGCTTCACCGATTTCCAATTTTCCTTTCAAAATATAACAAAATCGAGAGTGGCTCAAGATTTTTGCGCAGAGCTGTAAGTCATGAGATAAATTATCCTCACAATGACCTGATGGCTCTTTTAAATGGTAGCAGCACTATTTGTTTTGTCTTTTAATAACAGTGAATTACCGGCATTTATATGCAAATTATGACCGAACAGAAAATACTTCCAGCCAATGGACAGTGGTGGATGAACTAATCCAGAAAGCATCGGCAAATTATTTATTAACCATCACAAATCCAATAATTACAACTTATCGATCCTCGTGTGTGGTCTCGAGTTATAATAATGACCCTGGAATTGGCGTCGGCATAAAAAGTTTGTCCTTTAATTTCGTCATGTTTGTTATAACTGCTGATGGTCCACTTATGCGCTTGTTTCTTCTGAAGCGTTTTTTCTTATCTAAGCCAAACGTAAATGACTCATTATAATCCCACCGCCTGCCGCTGGCTGTTTTGACAGACCGCTGATTTACAATATTTGTAAATGTCCTCCTGACATTAGTCTGCGCACTGTGCGCTTTGTGTGCCAAGAACATAGTCTGCTTAAGGGAAGCTGGCGAGTGGGGAGAGACACTAATTTTTTCCTCTGGTCCTAAGGGGTCTCCTTCTCTATATAAGGCTCTCAGAGTTCTCAGGAGTTACACAGTCTCTATGTTCCCCGGGAACACCACCAATAGCAGCAGCCTGCTCCTCTCATAAGAGAATTAACAGCTTTCCGGCGCTCAGAGGAAGCTGCACCGAAAATACTCAATCTACTGGATACTAACAAAGAAACAGAGAGGTGAGCACGCTTTCTTTCTTTCTTTCTTTCTTTCTTTCTTTCTTTCTTTCTTTCTTTCTTTCTTTCTTTCTTTCTTTCTTTCTCCGAAACAACCCGTACTTTATAATGCACATTCTCTGCAACAGCAGGAAAGGCAGAACTGCCCACCTGGTGAGATTTGCTGCAGATTTATTCATGCACTCACATCGCGATATAAACTTCTGACACATTGTAACTCTGATGTTAGCAAGACACCGGTCTTCAGTGTCTGCAGCCCGGAAAGTGCCGTAGCATGATGGAAACCCTATGTGCAGGAAGTAACCTTATGAGCAAAGCATTTTAAGTGTATTTGGAGGTTATCGATATGATCAAAAGATTATATTTCATTTATGGAAGCCTATATTTTAGAGTTCTGGGACCAGGATATAACAGAAGAAATAACTTACTTAATGATGACCTTTAAGGTTTCTGAAGAAGAAGAAGAAGAAAAAAAAAAGCCCAAACCCCCAAAACAATAAAATGAAATTTAAAAAAGTAATTGCAAATTACAAAAATTTTAAGTAACTGCAAAAAGTTATATAAATGATAGAATCTACATTATGGCATGTGTTTTTGTTTACATTCAGCCTCGTGGTGAGCTGGAGATGAGGTCAGTCCGTCTTTGGATCAGATAGGAGCTCCAGAAGTTGAAAAAGGAGTCAAGTTTACATAGACGAGATGTCGATACGTACGTGCGTTCAGGTTTTCTCCTCTGTCTGTCACTCTGGTATCGAATTCATGAGAGCCTTGAGAAGGGCCCAGACAGAGAAGCTGGTAGAGGTTCAGTGTGAAGACGGGGCACAGGGAAAGAAGAAGGGTGTGGCGGCTGGGCTGCCTGTTGGCTCACAGTTCCCTGAGCTGGCACAGCATGTTGACACAGAGCCGATGCCAGACCTCAGGCTGCATCTCCAGCCAAAGGGAAAGAGGTGAAGGGATTCAAGGATAAGAGCAACCAGTGCAAGCTGGTTTATTTTTCCTTTCTTCTCTGATCACCCTGACTGACTGCTCTTCTCTCTTTCTAGAAGTTTATGACTTAGGGATATTTGGTTTAGCTTTAGTTTTGGACGTCTTGCCTCCACCTTGTTGCCTTTCGGAGCGAGGTCAGGTAAAGAGTCAGTTACACAATATTATGAACCTTCCTAATATGTGTGAGGAATGCAGTGTTTTGCCTAATGAGAGCTGAGTGAGAAGTTGTCAGCTTGAACTCAGGTCCCCCTCAGCAGATCTCACTGTGCTGCTTGGCTTGGCTAAAATAACTGGAGTGATACAGGATGGATGTTGTATATAATTAAGGTGCACTAGGTCCAGGTGGGTTATGTACACAGACTTTTTCATACATTTTTAGTCATGAATATAAAACTAATTTATTAGGGACACTTTATGTCATATTAATGTTTATGGTCAAATAATTGAGGTTGTTATGAATAAGACAGATCCTTGTACATTAAGACTGAGGCCACTAAAAATGATCATTTAAGCATTTAATGTCACAATATGTTACAAGCTGATCATGTACACTTCACAGTGTCTGAAAAGGAAACAAAATGCCTCAAATAATCAGCAATTTATCAGATAAATCTAATGGAAGTTTATGATTATAATTTTGTTCATGCTATATGAGAGTGGTTGATTGAACTCTGTGGCCAATATCTGTTTCATACACCTTTCAGTATATTTTATGGCACTGCAAATAAACAAAAACACCTTCATAACCTCAAAAAAATGAACATTGAAGTATTTCTTTTATGCTTTGGCCTAAATAAAACCAAGCATTCAGAAGCTTCTCAAAGAAATGTTGTTATTGCAGGGCAGTTATTTTGGATTGCATCAGAGTCTATTGGCCCAAATAGTAAAACAGTCATAAGATGGCCAAAAGCCGAACTTACACAAAGCAGAACTGCAGAGAAAAAAAAGTCCACCTTTGAGTTAGGAAATTTTATTTTACTGCTCCTCCCCATCACCAAACACTCTTCATCAGTAGGAGTTATAACACATAGCAATGCAAAGGGAATATTGAAGAGTTATCAACTAAAAACAACCTGAAGGAGAGACAGATATTAAAGAAGAGTCTTGCTGTGCAGTCGTTTCTAGGTGTGTGCATTTATTTTGCAACTTTATTAGAAGAAGTGCCTCCTATATTAGTTAAGTGTGGGAAGTGTGTGTGCCCATATTTTGTAATCTGGTCATTTTCTTGAATCACAGAGGAAGGAAACCATCATTGAATCGTCATTTCCACCCTGCAGATTTTATCTGGAACTGTGAAAGGAGCCTCTCTATATCCACAAGCTGCTGTCTAGTCCTAAAGTATAAACTACGCAGCTCAAGTGTCAGGATGACCTGCGCTACAGTGACCTGGCCCCTTGTCCTTGTCCTCGTGCTGTTGTGCATCAGAGACTCGGCTTCCCTCTTCCTGCCAGACTCCAGTGAGCTCAGGAAGCTACTGAGCCGCTATGAGGAGGAAGCAGAGCAGAAAGGCACCAGCAACACAGCTGGTAACAGGACCCGCCGAGCCATCCTCTGGTCAGACCGTGAGGAGATCCTGCAGCTGCACAACAAGCTGAGGGGTGGGGTTTACCCCACCGCTTCAAACATGGAATACATGGTAAGATTATTGACCTATTTCAGTATTATCATGCAGATAAAGCTAACCTTTTACTTTACCCTGGAAAAAAACTGTTATACTTATTTCTTGCACTTGATTTTTTTATTTGCTTTACTTGAGTGGTTTTGCAGAATTCACAGTTCAGTCTTACATTTATTTACCTTATATTGAACCTTCTTCAGCTCATCAGTTTAATCACTGTGTGAAACAAGCTTCTCTTTATGCCAACCTTCATGTTTTTGGCTTTACCTTGCAAACACAGGAGTTGAACAGTAGGTGGGCGGGGCTTCTGTGCTCACAGTCAGGTTGTGCCTGAGATCACGATATAAGGAATATCTCCTCTAAGTGACATCACAAAGAGCCATAGTAAGAGAAGCAGATCTTTTACCATGTATCATCATATATATGATATATATACTCAAATGATATGAACACAGGATTATATATAATATATATAATGATATATAAACATAACAGCTTCTCAGGTAATTTTCATCTGTCAGCAGCACCAATGAGGTTGGTAATCAGGGTTTTAGTTGACGTACAAAAAGTGGTGTTGCCGTAATAAAAACAATCGTTTCTCTCTGCTGGAAACATGTAGTCAAGATGTTGAACTACTGCCAGCCTGCTGTGCCACGCTTTTATGGGGAGGATAATAATGCTGACTCTGTCCTACCTGCAAACAGCTCAGCACATGCGGCTTGGTTAAAAGAGGAAGGAGAATAAGGCTGGAAAAGGGAAACTTAAGGGACCGCATGGCACATTAATACATAAAGTAGGAGAGGGATTATTGTGGAGACAAAAATAAGCTTATTGAAAACCACGTGCTCCATAAAGTTGAGAGAAGCAGTGGTGGCCTGTGTGTCTCTGGAGTGTGGTTACACTGTGAAGGAAAATGTCTGCAGACTGTCTTTGCTCTCTCAAATTCCAGCGAACAGGCAGTGGATGTGTTTGTGTTAGTGTAAGGGTGTTTGGAGTTACAGTGCTGTCTGTGTGTGCATGTGTTAGCGACCACCAAAAGGCTGGAAATTTACTGAAGGGATGTACTTTGAGGGGCCATGGTGTATGGAGTGTTCAGTCACTTCACAGTGCCCCCTCCAAAGTGGGAGTCAGGTATCTTCTCTGTTTTCCACCCTCTTGTCCACTGCTATAATAAATCCCACTGAGGAAATTTGGATAATTCAGCTGTGATTGCTGGAGATTTGTAGTGGACCAAGGCCAGGCGCTAGGAGCTCCGCTCAAATGTCACCATCTAAGGATATTGTTGTACTTGTGTGCGGCTTAGTTTCAGCTTAATGGGAGAGAAGGAAGTGCAAGAGCAGAAGAGCAGGTTGAGGGAAGGAAAGCATAGTGTGGATTGCACTTGATACAGCAGGTGATGAATGATTGTTTTCTTATATGCATGCAGATTTGGGATGATGAGTTGGAGCGATCTGCCACTCAGTGGGCAGAGGAGTGTCAGTGGGACCATGGACCTCAGGACCTGCTCATGTCTATTGGACAAAACCTGGCAGTTCACTGGGGCAGGTGAGACACATTCTTATTAAATATGAATATTTTATTGCTTTATTTTGGAAAATGACTTTTTTTCAAAATCTGAGAAAAAAAATCATTGGACCTTATCCTCTTCTGTACTTTGTAGATTATTTGTTAGACATTTGTAGGAATGCAACCACCTTTGATGTTGAATAACCATCTAACTGATGTCATGGATGTTTTTTTTATGTCCATTTGAGATGTGTGGACATCCTTGTTAGAATTTCTGGCAAGAGAAAGTTCATCTAAATGTGTATATAATGTATATATTAAACAAAATAAGGTAAGTTCACTACACAACAAATAAACTGGAATTTAGATGTAAAAACTGTAAATGGCTAAAAAAAATTTTTTTTAGTGATGCTAGACATCTGTTGACAACCATGTACTGACCACATTGCATTGCTGTTCAAAAAACAAAACAAAGCAATGAATTCCTTCTTTGCAATAGTCAAAACTTTATTTCTCACTTTGTAAGAGCGTGAGGAGGCTTGTGTTCTACATGCGTTCATTCACCTTATTGTGACCAGTTTTGATGAAGGGGATAACACCTGGTTTTCAGCCATGTTTGCTGGGTAATTTGTATTAAGCAAAATACAGATAAAAGACTTTAATCAGTGGACGTAAGGCTGTTAATCAACATGGCCATGCCCCCTAATATTAAGTCCCAAACAAGTGAGTTATAATCCCACTCCTCCTCTCAACTGTGCAGTTTTCGTTTTAAGTTAAACCAAAAAGGGCTTGTATGAGTTTGTAAGAATTCAAATTTCATAGCTAAAGTTGGGTCTCAGCCCTTTAAGGTGGCTGCTTGATCAACAGGAGTTTTAAACATGCTCTAGGACTAGCACGGTGGAATTGTTAGTCAGTCAGTCCACCATTTTTAGCCCAGAATAAAAAATCTGAGCAGCTACTATATGGATTAAGAGCAACTTTATTTCCACTGCTCCTTTAAGCAGATTTGCAATCATTTTTCTGAAGGCTATAAATCTGAACTTTAACTGAGTGGCAGTTTTCTTGTAGCTTTTTTGTACCAAGTGACTCCTAAACGTCCTTATAAGAGATTATCATCAACTCTAAGCAAAAGTGATGAATGTTGTACTTGAGCTACTTAAACTATAACAAAAGTGTCAGTGCATGAACCATAGGTATTGCTAGTCCTTGTTCATATGGAGTCTGATATGAATGAGGTTGTGTGTGTGTGTCCAAGTGGACACCAGACAGTAGGCCTCTGTGTTTAATAGTGTATGGCTATCGCAGCAGGTGCCCTTCCAGGAATCTGCCCTCATTCTCACAAACCCATTCCCCCTTCCTACTCCCTTCTTTTCTTCCTGTGCCAAAAAACCCTGATGCGGAGTCATTTTTTCACTCCCCCTCTGCTCTCCATTTATAAGCTCTGCACGTTTCAACACCGTAAAAAGAGATGTTTATAATAGGAGCTAGAATTGATTTGTTAAACTGGGAAGCTGTGTTTAGCTTTGCTCTAATTCTTTTTGTTGTTGTCTTTTAGCTTGATTTGATTCCCTCTGTTATGGAGGGAACAGACTGCTGTTCCGTGTGCCAGGTTATATTCAGACTCATCATTTGAGGACAAAAGGGTTAGAGCAAGGGTAGAGCAAGGCAGGTTCATGTAGTTTCTCAAGTCTAGCCAAAGCACCTGGCAGATACCCCAGATGTTTCCCTTTTGCCCCTGGTACCCTGTGACTGAGCCTACTGTCTGTTTGTGTGTGTGTGTGTGTGTGTGTGTGTGTGTGTGTGTGTGTGTGTGTGTGTGTGTGTGTATCCTACAGATACCGTTCACCTTCCTCCCACGTCCAATCCTGGTACGATGAAGTGAAGGACTACACCTACCCCTACCCTCATGAGTGCAATCCCTGGTGTCCAGAACGTTGCTCTGGGCCAATGTGCACTCATTACACCCAGGTGAGACAAATACAAGAAAAAGGTTTGTCATCTTTGTTTGAAGCCCACAATTAACTCTGCATAGCATAACACAACTGAATCTCTGACTTAAGTGTTGGTGGTCAAGTCAGAATGTGGGTAATGTTGGCACCATATTTGGACAAGTAAAAAGAATACATGAAATTTCCACTGCACCATCTGCTGCATTGGGAGTCTGACAGTTTAAATTTAAGCTGGTGGACTGCTCTTTTAAGAAATCCCTGAGCAGTAACTTATAAACCTGCTCTTAACTTGATCAATTACTACAAGAACCTGCAAAGTTTGATAACTTGATGCAAATAATTCAAGAGAAGGGACAGAAAAAAGTTTGTTTTTTTAAAAAAAAAGAAAAAAAAAAAGAAAGAAAGACGCTCAAAAGAAACAGGAATGAATGAGCCTGCCTCATCCTTCCCCAGACATTACTTTGTGGATGTTGGGATGAGTTTACAGAAACATTTAGACTCCTCCCTGAAACCTGATTGCTGCCATCTGGTAGTCATTTTCATCCCACCAGACATGCCACACCGTTTGACCTGGATTCTTTTGAAGATGCTGCAGAGTGGGCAATGCCAAGTCTGAGCATCACCACCTTTTCTCTGTAAGTGCCGATACACGTGCAGTCCAGGCAGTCAAACCACATTTTAATCGCACTGTCCTGGATTACCAGCACTCACCAGCTGACTCACTGCTTCCACTGAACATTCCTGAAGGGGGAGAGTGCACGTTTGGGAGGAAAGCTTGGAGACGCTTTCGAATATGATGTCTTGTATTCCCTGTCAAATGGCACATCATTCATCTGCAACACCACTGCAGGAGCTTTCTGTTTCGTGAGCTGCGTTATTTTACTGTGGACAGTTCTGGGGCTTGGAGAATTTCTTTCCAAGTTAAGATATTAAAAACTGACATTTCCTCCTTCTAACTGGATGATGAAAATACTCCCGGTTGTGTCACAGAGGGCAAACTGGGTTCACGTGATGACCACGTGACTGAAGAAGAATAACAGAACAGGCAGTCTTGGAAATCCCAAAGGCCTCATTAGTTATAACTGCCTAAATAGGTGCTTCCTCTGGAATGATGGTGGACCTATCGGTTGTGAGGAAAGAGAGGCAACAAATCTAGGTTACGAGATCGACTGTTTACTTTTCTGTGTGTCCTTTCGGAAATTGTACGTGCTAATGTTTGCCATTTACTTTCCCCTCCCCTTTTACAGCTGGTGTGGGCAACTACTAACCGAGTGGGCTGCGCTGTGCACGTGTGCCCAAGGATGAACGTGTGGGGAGAAATATGGGAGAATTCTGTTTACCTTGTGTGCAACTATTCCCCAAAGTAAGATCAGTATTCCTCCATGCTGTACTGATCGTTAACACCTCTGGTCTCCAGGCTCTTGTTTACATACCTTCTCCTTACAGGGCTCACAAAAGCTGCATTTTGAGTTGTTAATATAGTTGTACTGTAGATAAGAAACACTAGCTGTCCAAAGCATTCATATGACATATTGTTGCCATTAAAATTCCTCCAGAAGTCAGAGTAAAAATAGTAATTATGAGGTACGGGGAAAGAAAATAAGAGCAGAGTAGGAGTTTGTTTTCCAGACAGCCTATGAGATGTAATTGCCTTAGAGACAAAGAGGAGTGTTTTTGCTACAAGGTCACGAACCCAGTGACGTTGACTCATGGTTAATTTCCACCTTACTCAAGACGCCCATTGTTCAAAATTTCTGCAGGGGCAACTGGATCGGAGAGGCTCCATACCAGCATGGCCGACCTTGTTCCCAGTGCCCTCCAAGCTATGGAGGAGGATGCAGAAATAACCTTTGCTACAAAGGTGAGCGAACCCACGCGATTTTCCCTCAGTCATTTTAACATTAAACTGGTTACCAAGCTGAACCCTATCTGTCCTTTTACAGACTCTCAGCAGCCAGAGATTGAAGACATGAATGAGGTGGAGAAGCCTCAGGTCCCACTGCCACCTCGTACCACTGCCAGACCTAAAACTATTGCTCCAAAGAAACCTGTGTCCAGACCCTCCAGTCCCAAGAACACTAATCCCAGGACAACGCCTTCAAAAGCTCCCAGCAGCACTTTTCTTGGTAGCTATAGCAACTGTATACCTATCAAAATCATCATGAATTTTAATATTTTACACTTTTTAATATGTTTTTTTCCCTTGCAGCTCACAATATTAAGTGTGAGACAAGACTGCGAGATAAATGCCGTGGCTCAACCTGCAGCAGGTGAGGTTATTTCAGTGTGTTTTAATGTAAAATTAGTTTAAGATTTGCAAATAAGATAACACAGTTTGCAGTATCCATGCACTGTGGTGGCCAACTTGCTTTCTGACTCTGCAGATACAACTGTCCTGCTAACTGTGTGCAAAAGAAAGGAAAAGTTTGGGGAACTGTCACTTATGATGTGGTGAGTCTGTCCTGTATGAAGCAAACTTACTGCATCATGCAGCAGTTTATAATGGGACCGTAAACGTGGTTTAGTCTGGTTTCACACTGGACGACAACATATAAGGCACTAAATAATATCTCATATGTATCCTGTATGTAAAATAGGCTTCAGGACATCCAAGTTTTAGGTTTTTCCTAAAATTCCGGTTTTATCATTTATCCTAATCTAATGAGTGTTGTTTTCACATTTTTTAAATTCTTTTCTCGCATTATGGAACTGTTTTGATTTGGTATTTGATTTGTAAATAAGAGCTTTGCTATTTTTACAGGATTTTCACCCAGCGTTTGTTTTTCATTGTTTCAGCAATCAAGTATTTGCCGAGCTGCTATCCATCATGGTGTGATTGACAACAACGGAGGACTAATCGATATCTCCAGAATGGATAAGTTACCATTCTTTGTCAGATCTACAAAGAATGGCATTGAGTCTCTCAGGTAGATATATGTACTCTGAAGGGAACATATAGGAAACAAATGTGCCTGCTTCTGTGACTAACACAATGAAATAATTTGGTTTCGGAAGACTTTACAGGTTTCTAAATTTGATGTGTTTTACAGTAAATATAAAGCTGGAAATGCCTTCACAGTGGCCAGAGTGAAAGGTAAGTGAAGCATTTCTTTTGTTCGGAGGAGCTTTGAGTCACGATTGTGTGCTGATTTGCATTATTTTCAGATATATATTAGAGTTTTAAGTGATTTTCTTTTCTCTCTCTCTGTGACAGAAATGACAGCTGATTGTTACACCACAGTGGCTGAAATCTGCCCTTACAAAGAACCAAACTCACACTGTCCAAGGTGTCACCACACATCCAACATTTGATTACTCAAAAACAGCTTTTTACTACAACAGTAGATGACATATTTAATGCTTGTCCTCTCAGATAAAAAGTAAATTAAAGTAAATGGACACTTGGTGTTTGTATTAGTTATTTACATTATTGTACAAAGGTTCTGAGACACCCCACATTTCTTTATATTTTGCTAGGAAAATGGGAAATAGTTTCTTGAAACTTGTGCAAACATACATAGAAACATGGTGTAAAGGGCTAAAATAGAGTTTGTACAATTCTGATGAGCTGCAAAATCAAAATTTGGTACGAGCACCTTCATTCTTCAGCATACATTAATAGTTTAACAAACAATAAATATATCCCCCTGAAGATTGTCGGGTAAAAGGACATAACTGAAAATCAAGAACAAGAACAAACAAGTCTGGCTCCTTGGAAGCGAAATATGAAGAAGGGTGGGAGGGGTGGCCCAAGACTTTTGCACAGCACTGTATGCATAGCAAATAAATAGTTTCGAATTTAATATAATGCAGTTGAAAATAAAATGTAAATGTTTGTCTTTTTGCCAACTACATCCGTTAACTGAGAATATAGGAATGCTAAATGAAAGTGCTAAAATATTACCACTTATTGAAGAAACCCTCCCATAGCAAAACATCTTTCTATGACTCTTGTCTGTCAGATTTATACTCAAGTGCAATTTGTTTCTCAGAGTCTTCTGTCCAGAGAACTGCAAGGCTCAGCCCTCATACTGGTCGCCTGTTATTGGAAACAAGATTTACACAGATGTAAGTAACACTAGCTTCCAATCTGTATCTTCTGAATTAAGGGGCAATAAACCACAATCAAGTAAACGTATGTGTTTCAGTTTGTGCAACTAATACACAACCTACCTGCTGGTGTGTACTTTTATGTGCTTTTAAAGTGTATGTTTTATTCCAATAATGCTAGGATGGTAGGAATAAAAAATAAATAAAAAAAATTAGCTGATTGTTTATTATAACTTGTTGGCCTCCTCAGCAAAAACGGGGAGATGTCTGAATGATTATGTCTGCGTGATTATGTTGCATGGCCATGAACAACAGCTGAATCATAGGATCATGGAGAATTGGAGTAATGAAATGACAAACCGGAGAATGTCTTTGACTCTATAGGGCTTTACCACTCAAGCATTATCTCAAACTAAGTGCCTCTTTTTCACTGAAGAAGACACAGAAAGAAATACTCCTAGGAAGACTGGTTTAGAATATCTCTCTGAAGTGACTTAAAAAGATGTTTACAGTGGAGAGGACACTGTAAAGTGCCCTTCAGACTAAACATATCAGATGTAAAATGTAAAAGCTTTTATGTTACTTTCGAAGTTTATTTTAGAGCTGCTAATCTGTGAATTCACATGAGGTCAATGCTGGGTTTAAAGAGCTTAACCACTGATGAAACTGACTCTTAACCAGATCACAGGTCCTCTGAGGTCCTGAAACAAGCACACTTGACTCATAACAAATGCCCAGCACCCAGGAATGCTTTGCAATCTGAGGCACCCACATCTGTTTCCACAGTGGTGTATAAGCTTAATGTTGGTTAAACATGAGGCATAAACTGTCTGGTTACAATCTCTGGTAGGGTGTATGGACAGTCTGATCTATGTTTGGAGTAGAAATGATTGATTGTACTCCAAACTGTTGATAAGAGCTCATGGTCTGTTTTGCTGGAGCCATGCTTCTGGCTCAAACTCTACTCCTTGAGTGTGTGTGTGTGTGTGTGTGTGTGTGTGTGTGTGTGTGTGTGTGTGTGTGTGTGTGTGTGTGTGTGTGTGTGTGTGTGTGGTTGCTGACGTCTTTCTGTAAAATATATTTCATGCTGTATTAAACAATTATTAAACTGAAGTAATGTTTGCACAGTGAAAAAGTGGTTTTCCATCTTTTTAAATCCTCTCTCAAGTTCACCATATCTTCTCTTCACAGAACTCCAGCATTTGCAAAGCGGCCATCCATGCAGGCGTAATCAAACCCAATGGCGGTTTTGTTGATGTTTTGCCTCTGGACAAGAGAAAGAGCTACACAGGAGTTCTGAAAAATGGCATCCAATCTGAAAGGTACTGCTCCACAGGGATTTTGGAGATTACTATTATTCCTGACAACTATGTTTAAAATGTAGCCCTTTAAACAAGCAATTGCCAACAGTGAGGAGTAAAAACTCCTTTTAACAGGAAGAACGCTTCGGCAGATCCAGGCTCTGTTAGGGGCAGCCATCTGCCACTACTAGTTGGAGGTCAGGGGGGAAGTTAGGATAGCAAAAAGGCACACCGTGGGAGAGAGAGGCAGAGTTTAGTTATTAAACGAAATATAGCAATGGTGTATAAACACATAGAGAGGGAAAACACATGAGTAAAGAAGAAAAGGTCAGTGGATCAAGGGAAGCCCCAGCAGCATCAGTAACTCAAGGGAGGATTCAGAGACACCTGTTCCATCTCAAACTATATGCTTTATCAAAAAGGGACATTTTATTTCTCTTTTAGGAGGAGTTAATTTAATAAAAATCAAATTAAAGTTAATCGAAGGTGGAGTTTTATATCAAATTTTGTATAAAGTGTAGTCACCAAAAAGTCAAATGCAACTGAAATAAAAACCAGAAGCTTGCTGAAATTTAGACAAGTAAACTGTCCAAGAGAGTCTGAAATAGAACAAGGCACTTTTAGCTGCTCCCTTATTTCGAATGGATGGACACTGGATGCTTTTCCTGATACAACTCTTTCATTTCTCCAGGTTTAGGACCAGACCTGAGATTACATTAGCTCGTGACCCCTTGAGACTGGGTTTGTGTCTCCTCCCAGTCTCAAACTGGGGATCTGTCGTGTTTAAGGTGAATGTGTTAACCATTACACCTTGGAGCTGTAAAAGAGACTATAAAATATGCCAGAGAAAAGTGCTTTTATTCACTATACCCTATCTTGATTTATGTGCACTGTAATACTGCAAGTAGTGGGTTCCCTTCATGCACACTATGCTTCTCAAATCAGTCTCACATCTGTGGCCGGCTCCAGTGGACTAAGCTCAGGCAAAGAAGCCCTTGTGGCCAGTTCTAGTGGCATATGGGGTTGTAAGAGTAATGGTGTGGTTTGGTGTGTGGACGGCCCACACATGGGACCTTTGCTTACTTTACTCAGGCATTTCAATTGAGTGTGCAAAGTGCTGAATGGTCAAAAGCATGCCAAGTCTTATTCTCTGAAATCTAATGCAGAGCTGTGAAGGTTTCACTCGGGGCATTCGGATAGGAGGTCAGTAGATGGCTGAGAGAAAGTCTGTGCCATGTGCCAACATCATGGCAGGGTGGGCAGCTTGGATTACTGGGGAAGTAATCACATCCTATCCAATTACTCGAGGCTGGAAATGCTGTCAGCCACTTAGAGTGCTTTCCTATATGGACAATTATTTGTGATTAGATACCAGTTGCACTGGCCTATCATGATTATGTAGCATGGCAAGACTTTGAGATATTTCCGCTAATGAACAAATTACAGCCGTCCAGTTCAACACATGAGGTAATTGGAAGATTCAGTCACAGAAATATAAATACAATGAGTGATTCTGCAAATGTGTCCTTTCCTCCTAAATGTATCATGTGCACCATGACTGTGTGCTTTTGATGGCTCTGATTGGTTGAGGAACTGGAGGGGTCTCATTTGACTTAAAGGAGCACACAAACTCACGGGAAAGCAAGATTATTCCACATTTGCTCCTTCACCTTTGATCAGGCTTCTGAAATTTGCTTCTCAGAATTTTGAAAGAACATACTTTTTCATGGTGTAGTGATAAAATTAACACTTTTTTGTCATGTCCATTTGCAGCAGAAGCAACATGGAGGGAGGATCCTTCCGAGTCTTTACTGTGAGGCAGTGAGACTTAAGTTCAGTAACCTGAAGACCAACAGAGTCACCTCAGCTGCTCTCGAAGAGAAGAAAGTGCCCATAGCTTTGATGCCATGGCTGTTTGTCTGTCCCATCTGACTGACAGAAACTTTCCCCACTCAGTTAACAAACAGTAGTCATACAGTAAAATTCATCCACTCATCCAACACATTGATAGTCCTTCATGTTCCTTCATCTTTTCTTAGACTTACATAATCTGTGAATACAGAATTTTTTTTTAAATTATATTATATAAAATGCATTGAACAGCTGGTGCTGGAAGTTTTGAGTTAGACTTGTGTTACAAAAAGCAATATGTTTACATTGGTGTTCTTATTACAAGTGTTATTTGTTTTTCATACACAGGAATGTATCCAGATCACACTGTATTTAATCATTGTGTACAGAATATATTATATTTTGTTTTTTTTAAAGAAATAATAACATGTTTAAGTTCTAGCCATTTAAAAAATATATAGCCCTCTTCTTCATCATTGCTTTTCTAATTCTTAGCAGCGAAGTCCAAGTTTAGTGTGAGCAAAGATGTTTTGCTGGGTTTTTTTGACCAGAAATTTTGAAGCACAAATATTCTGCGAAATGAATGTGTATAAAGGCAGCAGGCACTGCTGGAGAGAAGTAATATTTTCCTTAAGAAGACTAGTGTTGCTTCAGTGCCTGCCATGTGGATGGAGAGCCGGTGTAGGTGAGACAGTTTGTGCACTTATAATAATAAGTAGTAACATCCCAATTTATATTTATTAACTGCTCAGTGCTTTCTTCTTTTCTTTGTTTCTAATAAATACATTTCATGAAAATGCAAAATGCTCCCCCCCTTCCCACGTGAGACCGTTGAATGTGTTGCATGTTTCAGGTACAAAGAGTGCTTTTTGTTCAGAGACTGGACCACATTGTGAAGGTTTGACACTAACACTGTGCAGAACACACAGGAGACAAGTGTAATATCTCTCACCATAGTGGATTAAAGCACGGTTGTGTTTGGTCAGGTCTGATTAATAGTTTTGCTCTTCATTTAGCTCTGTGATATAATTTTACATGCACAGACATGAGGGAATGATACTCAGTAGAAACGAATGAAATAAATGTAAAGTCCATTTTGTGTAGAAGTGCTGCCCTCCTGCAAAACACACCCAACATCATAGTCCCATTTAGCCCGTTTAACCTACCTGCTGGTTTTCTTCTTTTCCAACTTCCTGTCTCTTTATCCTACCTCAGTCCTATCGCTGTGCTTAGTATTTAGATCTTTTCTATGTGGGAATTTTGTGGAAAACGCTAAAGGTTTTGTAAAGTTGTGGGATCTGTAAATACTAAGATTTTTGTTTTTGAATCATCTTTATACAGTAAGATTAAAATTAAGTAATTGTGTGAATTTGTTTCAATTGTCTTGGATGTATTGCGTTTATACAGGTTTAGGGTGCCTTCTATACTTTTTGCACAGTTTGAAAATCGAGTGTCTTACAAATCCCAGTGTACACAATTCTTTTTTTCTTTTAAATTAAAAAGTCTTGTCAAATATGATATTTTAGAAATCATTACGCATCATGGGTGTTATTTTGTGATTGTTTTTTGTGTGTTTGTGAGCAATAATATTTGAAGAATGAGCCGCTTTACTAAGTAAAGGATAATATCCATATCCAGAAAAGTGAAGCAACCCTTAGCTTACTCTTAGCTACATAAGGTCCTGACTTCATGACCATGAAATGTTACAAGTCTGGCTTTAACTGGTGTCCACAGTAACGTGGTTGAAACCAATGCCTGTGCAGATTGCAAAAAAATGTATTTTAATAAGATCTTGTAACTGTATTAAATGTACTTTGGCCTCAATGTTGGACTAAAATCTGTGTGACATGAATTATGAATGAAATTTAGATCCAGGCCACCCAGGATTTGTCCATTATCTTTGGAAAAATATAACTGACCATGTTCACAACCTGGCTCTGCTTCTTGTGGGCACAAGCATAATGGGCGGAGCTGAGCAACACAAATAGGGATCACTTCTCACGGACTTACACATAATCTGCCAATAGGGTCTTAATAATACAGGAAAGAAGAAAGAAAGAAAGAAGTCTGTCTGCATGACTATAATATCATCATCCTGTAATTCCAATTAAAAAATCAAGGCCAAAGGTCATGTGTTATTTATGATTGGGGTAAAGGTGGCTGAATGGAGAAAGAGGGAAAAAACAATCTTGTAAGCAATAATAACTCCTCATAAGCCCAGGGGTTATATGAGAGGCAGATGTTCAGTTTCAGTTAAGCCCTCGTTGGACAGGACCCTGACTATCCTACTGATAAACAGCTGCAACTGGCTTGTGTGATGACTGTTTTACTCCCATTGTCAATGGAGATAAAGATTTGTACTCACCCAGTAAATCCCCTGTCTGCTAAGGAAAAAAGATTCCTGGTTTCAGACCAACTTTATGTTTTCTTGTGCTCAAGAAGTACTTTGCAAACAGGCTGTTTTGTTGCATCACAAAGGATTCCTAGGGTAAAAGCAGAAGAATCTCATTTGTTTGTTGCCGCAGACATTAAGACCCCTGAAGGGTTAAAACTCACAAATACACTCTATTTTCCTCGTACAGATGTACAAACAGTGCACATTACTTTCTGCCTCTACTGGCATCTTCTCTTGTGTTGCGATTTTGTAACTAACCGACTCTAGTAAACTTTATCAGCATCAGTATCATCATTTTAAGCTCCAGTTTAAATCTTGAGTCTTCCATAAGACAAGAAGTGGGGTACACCCTGGATAGGTCGCCAATCTGTCACAGGGTCAAGACAAAGAGACAGACCACCTTTCACAGCTAGGGGCAATTTAAAGTCACCAGTTAACCTAACCCACTAACTGCATGTCTTTGGACTGTGGAAGGAAGCCAGAGTTCCCAGAGAGAAGTCACGCAGACATGGGGAGAACATGCAAACTCTACACAGAAAGTGTAGAGAGTAAATAGAGTGGACCACTGAAAGAAAGAAAACAAACAAAAAAAAAAAACAGAGTTTCGACTATCTCCTTAGAAATAAGCTACGTCTTTGGGCTACATGTGACACAGCAGCAATAATATTATTTTCCCAACTGGTGAAACATCTAAATTCTTCAGACACTTAAAAAAAGAGGTCAAGGACTATAAATCCAAGAGTTTTTAAAAAGCTTTTAAGAGTGTTTTGAAAAAAGAGGGCCAAAATAGCCGGCGACAGTGAGCATCTGCCTCACTCGTGTAAAACAGTGTTTCAAGTTTTACATTAGAGACATGCTTTTGGGATTGTTACTGTTTAAATGTCATGGATGCGCTGTCACAACGACAGACATTCATGATTGTTTATTAATTCTGATGATTTTTAAATCATACAGTAAGCTGACTTTTGTGTTTTTGACAAAGCTTTGACTCAGCTTTGCATGAAATGCTGTCTGACATGTAGCACTCATACAGTAGGTGCTGCTGAAGTCTGAAACACAGAGAGAACTGCTTTGTGCTTTCATTTGCAATTTTAGATGATTACAGTGTAACAACTTTGTGTGTGGCCATGATAACCGAATATTGACAATTTTATTATTGGGGTTTTGGAAGGAAAGACGAGAGCTTATTCCAAGTATAGTCTGTATATACCGCAAAGGACCTCCCAGCAGTATTTTGATCGTTGGAGAAAAATTTGTTGTACAACTCAAATTATGTGATTGTGATGTTAGGTTTCTGGTCAAAACAAGTGCCAAAAGAGACAAAGCTGAGTTTATGCTTATTAATCACAAGATTGCTCTGAGATTTGTAGAAACAAATGGAGGAAGAGGGCTTTACCAAATCTATTTAAAGGGAGTATGTGGATTTTGTTTCGGCCCCGGCAGAATCGAATGTTTGCTTACATGATTAATTTATTACTTATCTACATTTTAAGGTTCCAGTACAACAAAGGATTAGATTCCTAACTACTGATTATCACTATTCTGCAATAGTAGATACATAATTTTTCCCCTTTTTGTGTCGTTTATTTGGCGGCCTCCAACTCATTTTGCTGTCTACCAACCATCGTACCTGCTGTCTTACTTCCCTTTCGTAATAATTTGTAAGCATCATCCATACACACTGTGCTACAGCAGCTATCCTCTGCATCCAGCCTCACACCGGCACCTGCGCCTCCCACAGCCAACAAAACGACATCTATAAGGACCCATGAAGGTCCACTTTGTTCTGGCTGTCTGGAGATCCTGATGAATGGCAACGCTAGCTGCTCCACTAGTTTGACACCAAGGTTTGGTTTTTTTTTCATGTTGGAGAGACTTTCATCCTTTTACCTCATCAATGATTGGTCCAAATTTTCATAAAGCCTATTCATTCATTAATATTCCTCATCTGGTAACAGTCACGGTTACCAGATGATGAATAGTAATAGTTTTAGCTATCATCTGTCCTTTCCTCTAAAAACAGGTGGACAGTTGCGGTCGTCAGTTAATTATCTTGACAATTTCTGCTTGGATTGCTGAGATATTTATGCAGACATTAATCTTCTTCACATGATGAACTGAAATTCCTCTGGAAACTCACTCGGTACCAATCTCAAAAGCCACAGCTTGAATTTTGGTTAGGTTTGGTTTTTGACCAAATCCTTTTCTATTTGACATCAGCTTTAGCTAATATGTGTTAGCATTCTAATACCATAAAGGAAAACATCATAGTTGTAGTCCATCAGAATTACATTTAACAAAATATTAGGCACGCACAAAGTGATAGCAGAGAATCTGCTCAGACGTGGACTCTCTGTTATGGTTATGGTAAGAAAACCATTTGAGTTAGACAAGCAGGGATTCACTACAGCTGAAGAATAAAGTTAAAGCTTGGTGCTTGGGCTTTGAGCTTATTGCTCTCTGCAGACATAGATACAAAAACTGCAGAGTGATAAGTAAACAGTTGCTCGTTAACCTGTGGTTATGGAGGTGTTGAAGCAACACTGACATATCTGATGGAGTCATGAGAAGTTTGGAGCTGAAACTGATGGCTGAAAAAAGGGAGTGTTTGGTATTACGTGAGATGAGCGATGTGTGATATATGGGCATGATGCATGCGGATCGAGTTGTCTGTCTGAAGCAGTCTGAAGGCGTTGCTCCATTTACTCTGTCAGATAGGACGAATAGTCTGATGTTTAAGTGACATCCAGCACAGATGCAGCCAAACCACACACGGAAATTCATGTGATGACGCGCTGCTAAGTAATGTATCCCCCTTGCTGTTTTTTTTGGTTAAGCTCTCTTTGTTTTTTCTCGGCATGAGAGCCAGCGTAGTGAATCCCTGGCTGGGTTCCCCAGGGAACCAGTTTGAATTCTAGTCCAGAAGGAGGCAAACCCAGGCCCGAGAACAAAGGCTGTTTGTCAGCGAGATGATGATAAGTCTGTGGTGATGGTGTGTAGTCAACCAATGTGGACTGGAACAGTTAAAGCTTCACGCCATGGGTAGCTCTATAAGCCCCATGTATTGGGCTGAAATGACAGGACCTCAGTGATGTCTGTGTTGACAGACACATAGACAGTTTTTCTTTCTCACTCGTGACGCACTTTTACTCTTGGAAGAGTGCGCCGAAGATTTAGAGCCCACTGATCAAACAATGTTGTGCGCACATGCTTATGCCTCATTCAGCAGTATGGGTTTTGTGGTGTAGACCATAATCAGTGCTGTTTTGAAAGAACACTTTAGTCCATCTCAAAGTATTGATACAGGGAGTGCAGAATTATTAGGCAAATGAGTATTTTGTCCACATCATCCTCTTCATGCATGTTGTCTTACTCCAAGCTGTATAGGCTCGAAAGCCTACTACCAATTAAGCATATTAGGTGATGTGCATCTCTGTAATGAGAAGGGGTGTGGTCTAATGACATCAACACCCTATATCAGGTGTGCATAATTATTAGGCAACGTCCTTTCCTTTGGCAAAATGGGTCAAAAGAAGGACTTGACAGGCTCAGAAAAGTCAAAAATAGTGAGATATCTTGCAGAGGGATGCAGCAGTCTCAAAATTGCAAAGCTTCTGAAGCGTGATCATCGAACAATCAAGCGTTTCATTCAAAATAGTCAACAGGGTCGCAAGAAGCGTGTGGAAAAACCAAGGCGCAAAATAACTGCCCATGAACTGAGAAAAGTCAAGCGTGCAGCTGCCAAGATGCCACTTGCCACCAGTTTGGCCAAATTTCAGAGCTGCAACATCACTGGAGTGCCCAAAAGCACAAGCTGTGCAATACTCAGAGACATGGCCAAGGTAAGAAAGGCTGAAAGACGACCACCACTGAACAAGACACACAAGCTGAAACGTCAAGACTGGGCCAAGAAATATCTCAAGACTGGTTTTTCTAAGGTTTTATGGACTGATGAAATGAGAGTGAGTCTTGATGGGCCTGTGGCTGGATTGGTAAAGGGCAGAGAGCTCCAGTCCGACTCAGACGCCAGCAAGGTGGAGGTGGAGTACTGGTTTGGGCTGGTATCATCAAAGATGAGCTTGTGGGGCCTTTTCGGGTTGAGGATGGAGTCAAGCTCAACTCCCAGTCCTACTGCCAGTTTCTGGAAGACACCTTCTTCAAGCAGTGGTACAGGAAGAAGTCTGCATCCTTCAAGAAAAACATGATTTTCATGCAGGACAATGCTCCATCACACGCGTCCAAGTACTCCACAGCGTGGCTGGCAAGAAAGGGTATAAAAGAAGAAAAACTAATGACATGGCCTCCTTGTTCACCTGATCTGAACCCCATTGAGAACCTGTGGTCCATCATCAAATGTGAGATTTACAAGGAGGGAAAACAGTACACCTCTCTGAACAGTGTCTGGGAGGCTGTGGTTGCTGCTGCACGCAATGTTGATGGTG